GTCGCCGAAATTGCGGAGTCTACCCTCGCGAATTCACGTTCGAGGTTAAAAGTTAACGCGGCCCGCGACGTCTCGCGACGTTCACGCAATATTATTACGCTCGCGACGCGTCCTGCGAACCAATGTTGTTCAGACACGAGACGTGAATTCGCGTCGAAAGAACGGAGAATTTTAGAGTGTCACGAATGCGTCGTGACAATAACGAATCTCTTCTCTTACGTTTTCGTTTTATACAGAATATTCCGTAATAAGTCGAAGTTAATCATTTGGGAGATCCAAAAACGAGAAAAAAAGTTGATATGAACATAGATCCGCGTTGTTTTCGAGTCATCGCCATTTTTATGCATTTTTACGTCATTTTTTAAATGACTCTCCTTTGGAATTTTGGTTTCTTTGTCAAAATGATTGAAAGAAGAGATGGCACAACTGGGGAATCCTGATCTCTGCCAGGGGATGCTAACCTCTACGTGGCTGTATCTTTACGTGATGCTAAAGCAGCCTGCAACTCTTATTTGACTGTAATTATGTTTTAAAACTTATAAAGATACTATTTTTTTCACTTTAATTTTAACAAAAAAATTTAAAAACAAAGAGATTCAAAATTTCATCGTAAAATGGCGATAATTCGAAAAGAATTTTCGCATGGATTTCCAGATCCATGTTCATGTCAACTTTTTTCTTGCTTTTGTCTCACCTCCCCTCCACCTTTAAAATATCTATATATATATATATATATTCCTCTTTTTCGCTTTCTCTCCGCACCTACTTCTTCCTCTCTTTCTCTCTCGCTTTCTCTTAATTCTCCGCGGTCCCGTCGTTCGTTTCTACGCTTTCCCATTTTGCACGTCGCTCCTCACTCTTCGCGTCCCGGCCTGACCAGTCGCGTTGGCCGTTTTGTGCTGGAACGCGGGATCGATATCGGAGTCCTATATAATGCGTCCATGAAAGCGGGATAGAAATACGCGCGAGAGACGAGGGAGACGCGACGCTGAGGCTGAGGATATTCACGCGGCCGTGACAAACGCGCGGAAATAGGAAAAAATTAATTAATTAAGGGTACGCCACCTCGCGTACCCCTTAATTAATTTATACTTTATCACTTATATTCCGGTGTTGCGAACCAAGAAAGCTGACTTTGAACTTGGATTCGGAAGAAAAAAAATACTATACAGAGTGCTATACTTGCACACAGCAGGCGGCAAGCTTCGAACATAGAAAGACACTTGCCACTTCCTGCGTGCAGTTTGAATTAAGCTAAGGAATTCCACTCTCACTGTCACTGTCCTGTCTCCTGTCACTGTAAACTTCACGTTTAAAAATCAAGCCTAGAATTAGAATTCTGCGTAATCGGCTTCAAGAGGGTCCCAATTTACATATATCTCGTACAATTTTTCACAAAACTATAATCCAAAACTTGAAAGTTCACTTGTGATTAGAGAATGTCAAATGAAATTTAATTAAATTATTCACATGACGCGCATTAATTCTCCGTGTTACGTTAATTAAGATATGAAACGCGAAACGTATTACGCGACGTATTCATTTCTCAGTTTCCGACTGTATAAAATCCATAATTGTCATTCTCCGACCTTCAGTTAACTTTGCTGTGATTCTGTAAAAATCACCGACAATGTTTATTATACGTTTTTACTATTTCAGAAAGACTGCCAAGAGGCAACGGAGCAGACTACGCTTATATAGGCTACGGTTAGGGTTGCCATATTAAAATTTTCAAAACTAGGACTTACAAACCAAAAATCCCACCTTTCGGTTGCACTCCGGGACATTTCGGTTGCATCTCCGGACGTATACAAAGATGCGCTTAAGTTAGTAAAATTGATTAGAATAATAAATTACTACGTTTACACGACGACGTTAATCCGGCTTAGTAACAACCGTAGTTAGTAAAATCTCACGTTAGATTGGTACGTTCTTTTAAATCTAAAATTGTGATCCAATTAAATAATACAAGAAATCACTAACTACGATTGTTACTAAACCGGTTCAACGTCGCCGTGTAAATGCAGTAATTGAATCATTATTTCACATCTAATTGTTCATTAGCATTCAGAGCAAACAGAAATTTGAACTGGAAAATAAACTATTTTGATTAAAATAAAAAGTTTCATTATAACTTTTAACTAATAACCAATGAGAACCGTGCTTTTTTCCAAAATGCCGTCCTTGCCATTGGTTGGTTAATGACACCGACGTCATGTGACGACAATTGTCGATAATGTGTATACGGAATAGGGTCCCGGGTTAGTGCACACTAAATGCTGACATACGTGAAATTATTGAAATATAAAAATACATAAACATTTCAAAACGATTATATAATGAATTTGTCGTATCATTTAGCTGAATACGAATTAATTTCATTTCCAAAGAAGTAATATTACGCTATTGCACATAAGCTGTGTTCCAAAATCTATAGTTTGCGTTACATACACTATAGGGATTTTCAGCACTGACAGTGAATTTTGAAACATAGACTAAATGTAATATATAGCATACTATTACTTATTCGAAAATGAAATTATTAATCCATATTCAGCTAAATGATACAAATTTATTGTTGACTACTTCATATGTAGTAATCTTTACTGCACACTAATCTGGTGCAATGAATCGAATTCACTATAATTTTTATGACTTACCCTAATGTGTAAAGTCTCGATCTAAAAGGTTTAAGCCTCAAAAAACTAAATCATAAGTCTATTCCTATACTGAACTGCACTAAAACTTTCTGTCTCGCTTTTGTCAAACTTCAAATATATATCTTTCTCATTTCAAATATTATAATTTAGCTACAAAAAATGAACCACATGATTCAATTTCTTACGATTTAACTTGAACTATCAAGTTTAAGGGCCAGAGTACACATTTCTGCATAATGCATAACGCATAAAAAATGATCCAAACAAAAAACAAAAAAATGACCAATCATAGTCATCTTCCATTTCTACTCCCATAATGGAAAGATTCAAATTGGTTCATTTTCTTATGCGTAATACATTATGCAGAAGTGTGTGTTTCCGACCCTAATAAAAGTTGTGTTTTTTACGAACATATAATATAAGGTAAATAATAAACTGATTATATACTGCTTTATTGAAGAATGTAAAACAACAAAATATAAATGTAAACAACAATTATAAACAAATAAGATAAAAATTTTAGAATTAGATATAAATTATTAAAAAAACTATAAGTATAAATTAATATAGAAGATAATTATATTAAAATACTAGTAATAAAATTGAAATATGAGTGTAAAATTCTTTTTGTAAAGGGTAATGATTTTATTAGTCATAGTTGTACAAAAACTTCTTTAAATGATCAGAATTATATGAATAAATAGCACATTTTATAAGTTTCGAGTTATATTAATATTTCTTCCTTCTTGTTTTTTTTTCTATTATCTTTCATTTATTCAAGACATATTCAAGATGTATTCGAGATGTATTCAAGATGTTTATTGAATTCAAAAATTTCTACATTATAATTTTATTTCTACAAATATAATTTTAATACATTTCGAATCTTCACTTTTTTATCGGAGCGAGGTCTATATTTCAAAGACCGGATTATTTCTTTGTCCTTTGCATCACTTCTGGGAAGAGGAGAAATTACTAGCAATCTCTATTTTCATTGTCAAAGATCTTACCAATCAGCGTCTGTGTCTCGTCTACTGCACAAAGAATGTGAGTGAGTGTGAGAGAGAGAGAGAGAGAGAGAGAGAGAGAGAGAGAGACGCGACGAACGA